ACGCCGTCGCCGGCGACTCATGGCAGCCCAGCTCCAGGTTGAGCTGTTGTTCAGCATCTTAGCTGTGGAGGGCAGTGTCACTGGCCCTCATGTGTGGGATCCAAACCGGGGCCCTCTGGTGTCCCAAGCCAGCTCTTAACCATTGCGCCACTCGGCCGGCCCGACCGGCTTAGTTTTTATAAGGAGCAGAGAGGTCAGCAGGCTCAGCTTTGCACGTTTGTGGCAATGTCCGCAGGGAACGGGGACCTCCACTGGGGGTTCACGGAGAAGTGGTGTTTGGGGCAGGACTCTATTTAAAGGGCAAGGAGGACTGATCGGAGGAGCCCGTCTGCACTGCCTTGGAAAGCTGCCTTCCCGCCCCATCCCCACCCACTCTCTCCGCCTGGAGCTACCACATTTCCCCATGTATAAGACGCACCCTTTCCCGAAAAACTTGGGGGTCTAAAAACTGGGTGCGTCTTATACAGTGGTTGTAGATTCTTTGTACTTGCATTTCCCACTGAGGACGAGGCAGTATATGAAGACAGTGATTCGTCATCAGACACAGATGAAGACAAGCTAATGGTTGGGAGTTTTGACAGTGATGAGGAGTTGTATGACTTTTATGATGAATAAAACTTGAGTTCAATAACTTTATGTAATACATTTTTCCCCAAATTTCGGGTCCCAAAATTAAGGTGCGTCTTATACATGGAGGAACGCGGTGAGTTTTGACTCTGACCCGGGCACTCCTTTGCCCTTTGCCTTCCTCCTGCGTGGAATGGCGTGGAGCCTGGAAGGCGCTCGCCATCCGATCTAGCAGAAAACGCTGCTGACAGCCTTACCTCTCCCTTCCGCAGGCAGGAGGCAGCACCGGGCTCCTGATGGACTTGGCAGCCAATGAAAAGGCGGTGCACGCAGACTTCTTCAACGGTGAGGATGCGGAGGGGGGTGCCAGTTTCCATCTGAAGGTCTCTTCTGCAAGCTGTGCCGTGGAGTGACTTTCTGACACAAGCAATTTAGATCACAGGACAGTAAAGCCCAGGCCCTGTGCCGTTCTCGGAACACAGTACAGTTTGTATAAAATGACGGCAGGGGCTGTTAGCACTGGCAGTCAGCCCTGTTTTTCAGGAGATAAAAATAGCATAAAATTGCTCCCAGTTTTACATTCTGGGCATCGAGTGTGAGCTATAGACACACTTTTGGACGCCTGAGACTGCGGTCAATTCTGGGCCGTGGCCCATGATGCAAAACGCGCATGGGGACCCCGTCTGGCTCCTTTTCCCCGCTTTCTCCTGACGTCTGGTTTCTTTTCTTTCCCTGCTGCCCACTGGGTTCCTGTCCCCACGCTGCCTTTGCGGCTTCCCCCCCCCCCCCTTCCTCTGAAAGCAGGGCCGTTCGTGTTTGGACCTTCAGTGCTGGTCACCAAGAATGTGTGTGGAGTTTTGCCAGGAAAACAGCAGGCAACTTTATATGAAACCCTCACGCATGTCAGAGGGGGCGTTTTTCTTGGTGTCTATGCATTTCTGACCGTGTTCCTACAGATTGTGTTAATCCTGCCTGAGGGGTTCAAGTCATCAGAGAGGCGCAGGGTTGTGTTCGCGGGGGGCTGACCGCTCGTTCTCCCTTTGCCGCCCCCGTAGCCCAGGGTGCCTGCCACCACTAAGCACTTTGTCACTGGTTAGTGGCAGTGAGGATGTTACATTGCCATGTTGGTTTTCAAAGCACCAAAGACCTTCAGCAGCCTGAGTCCCAGCTGTTTTAATATCCGGCCCCTTTTCAGCCAGTTGTTGCCTAAGAGGAGACACCAGGCTGCCTGGTTAGGCACAGTTTTCCCAGGGAGCCCGCCACCCCCTGAGGCAACACCCTGACTCCCACCAGCTCCTCTCAGAACTGGGGCACTGACATGCGAGCTGAGCCATGAGACCTGAGTAGCATTTCTCTATAAACTCTCTAAGCCAGAGGGTGTGGGGAGGAAACTGTGCAAAGGCACGCGTCCTCTGCAGAGCCGCCTGGGAAAGCGTAGCTGCCTGCCCCCGGGCAGGACTGTGAGATCCCTGATCCGGCACCACCCACTCACACAGGTTGGTGATTCCCTTCAAAGCCCAACTCCTCCTCTGCCAGCCATGGGTTGAGACAATTTGTGCGTCCTCGTGTTCAAGTTCATGTGACTTCTAAAAACAGTCCTTCAGTTCTGACAAGAAAGCCTCAGTGACAGGCTGGCTGACCTGCCAAGAGCACATTTGGCAACACCGTCTCCCGAGTCAGGGCTGGGAATGGAGGAGCACAGAAGGGCTTAGTGCCCCGTGGGACTGCCCGCCCGCTGACAGAGCTCAGGGGGCACGTGCTGCCCATCAGGGTGTGACCATCCCACGTTCAGGAAGCCGTTCTCCGTGAGAAGGCTGCGTGGACGTTAGATGGGCTTCTTCTGAGTCTTACTCAGTGAGCAGAGTTCCGATGGCCCAGATCCCGGGCAGTGGGGCTCAAGCCGTGACCAGCCCACCCTCTGCACTCGCTGTGGGGCATTTGACAGGGTGCAGGCAGGGACCGTGGGTGACGGGAGCCCTGACAAAGCGGGGCGCGTTGTTTCTAGAAGCTCACACCTGAGCAGGGGTGTGAGGGGTGTGAGGGGCTAGCTACGGTTGGGGACGGAGAGGTGAGTGCTCAGAGCTGCAGGACCACCGGCCATGCCAGGCGGTGAGCGGGAGGGCGCATTGGTGGGACTGACCGTGCCAGTGTGGCCGGGGACACTGGGACACCCACCGCCTTCCCCATGAACGCAGATGTGGTGACACGAGTGGGGGCTCCTCGCATCCCTGCCCCTTTCTAGCTGTCGTCATGCTGCACATTTCAGTGCAGTCCCCCGATGGGTGTGCTGTGTAGCTCTTTTCCCGTCGTGAAAGCACTACGTGTCTAGTAGGGAAGTCAGGAAACACGGAAGGAAGCGGAAGGACAAAAGGAGCACGGCTCTGTCCACCCACCCCGCGGGGACTGCGCTGTGAGCGCATGGCCGGCCTTCCAGCAGGAGCAGGGCTTGGCCTGTGTTCCTCAAGCTTGACTGCGGGTCAGTCTCCTCCTTTAGGGGGTTCATTCTCATGTGACTCAGACCTTCCACTGCCCTTCTGCCGCACTTCCCTTCTCACTGAGTGTGAGCGGGCGGGGCTGGGGGCACGTGCTGCGTGCCTTTCACCCCCAGTCGCCAGAGTGGGGCGTGGCCATGGTGCACTCACGGGTGCAGGCGCTGACATGTTGCCAGGTGGTCCCCCATGCAGTGGGAACACGCCTTGCATGCATTGTCTTACTGTTGTCACCTAAACAGGAGGATTAAAGATGCATTCTAGACAGCGCTGTCCCGCAGGCGGCATCCGTGAGCCCCGGGTTAGCATTTGTTCTGGGAGAAGCCCTTCATTTAATTAGATTGTTTAGTGTTTTTCCTCCGTTTCGAATGACCATACAATTCATTTTGTAGTTCTTTTCTCAGCTGTTTACCTTCTGTGCCGCATTAACGCGTGCTTTTGTTCATTTGCATAGACTTTGAAGACCTCTTTGATGATGATGATATCCAGTGAGATACCGTCCGGTGGTGCACGTGGTCACGCCCTCGTCACCTAGTGGTGTCACCTAGTGGTGTCTCCTCGGGACAATTTGGGATGGTTCTGGAGAACTGTGACATTGCCTGGAATCAGGAGGTGGCTAACCGGGAAGGGAAGGGTGGTTTTAACTACCTGGACAAGGCCTGTTCATCTGAGTGTGACCAGCTTTTGTCCTGAACTTCAATTAAAAAGAGCAATGTTGTCACTTGCAGACTAACTTTAATTCTTGTGGTTTTGAGTGAACGTGACTATTCCTGAAAGCCCCTTTGTCAGTGTGTGCATGTGGGGTCGGCGTGCGGAAGGGGACACATTGGCCAACACAAACAGCACACGTTTTCCGGGTTTGATAAGGGGAGTGGGTGCCAGACCTGAGCAGGCAGATGTGCAGGGAGTCCTGGGCGCACGACGGGACGTACCCTGGGCCCATGCTGTCTGTCTCCCCCGGCACAGTGGGGGAGCTGCCATCACCAAAACTGCGGCCTGGGGAATCAGGACCGTGAGGGCAACGACACGGAGAGACATGACTGGACGTGCGAAGTGCATGCGTGGCTCCATGTCGGAGGAGAATGTAACAGCTGAGGGGATTATGTTTCGTTTTCTTTAAGTTTCTTATTGGTCAGCTCAGCAATGGCTCACAATGGATAATGGCTGTAAAAATTAAGATTACTATTTCAAATCAATCTCAAGGTGAAGACTTGCTTCACCAGGACACGCCCGGGCCACAGGACTCGGCCGTCTCCTTACCCCAGAGTCAGGCAGAGCCACTTGATAGATGGCTCAGGATGTGTGCGCTGCACCACGAGAGCTCGCTGACAGCATCGCCTCCGTGGCCCTGGCCTGGGGAAGCAGTCGTCCCACAGGGTTCCCTGGGTGATGGGAGAACAGTCATCCCCTGGGGTTCCCCTGCTGATGAGGGAGAACAGTCATCTCCTGGGGTTCACTCGCTGATGAGGGCAGCGTCAGAGCCTAGTGTCCTTGGAAAGATGAAGGGTAAGTGCACTCTGGTCCCTGCATCTGAAGCACCGTCCTGGGTTGAGGTGCAGGCCACTCACCGCTCTGTGCTGGGGACTCTCGCAGCCCAGATGTGCAGGCCCGAGTGGCAGGGTTCCAGCAGGCGAGTGCACGGTCTCGAAGTTGGTTCGCGAGCAGGCTGTACAGTTCCCATGGGTTCCCAAAACAGGCCCAGGAGAGTCTGGGGAGCAAGCAGGTGCTTGGGTGAGTTCTTCAGTGATCAAGTGATGACCCTACGGTCATGGTCAGGTGAGGTTCAGAGCAGAGTCCGCGTACCTGGCACTGTGCTGTGCGTGCAGCTCCGGCTAGCTGATGGCCCCATGTCTGTCCCCATGTGCAGCACACCTCCAAGGAGCTGTGGGGTCCTGCGAGCCAAGCTCCTTCCTGGGGCCTCAGTTTCCTCACTGGTGCTGGTCCCTGAGGTCCCTTCCTGGATGTCTGGTCTCCAGCAGGAAGGAGTGATTCAAGGCAAAGAACGGAGAGCTGGTGCTGTCACCCAAGGGCACATGGGCCGTATGAAGAGCTGCCGTGTCCTTTCCAGACCGAGGCCTCGGGACCCCAGAAGGCTCTCTGTTGGCCTTGGAATTTCAAAGTCATTGCAGCTTGCTCAGTGCCATGGGGCCAAGGACAGACTTCCCACTTTTCCCTCATGTGCCTGTGACTCGGCCTTCACCTCAGGGAACCACGCGTGTCTCAGCTGCTTCCCTGATCTCCCGTCTGCGCAGACTCCTTTGGCAGAACTCTGGCTGTCATCATTATACGTTTCCACATACACTCACAAAGTCTCACTGTTTATACCTAATTGCCTCGGTCCCAGAGCCCCATATGCCAGTCCCCGCCACAGCTAGGAAGCCCGCCGTGGAAGGAAGTTAGGCCACCGCTGACTACAGCCTGGGGGCAGCCAGGCCATAAGACACAAGGAAGGCCAGGCTTGCTACTTGGAGAGGAATCGGCAGAGGGCACGCGGGACTTGGGGTCTGGAGAGGATGCTTCCATCAGAAAAGAAGGAAACGCATTAGAATCCTTGGAAGTGAAGGAACAGGAATTTGTTGGAAGTCTGGAAGGACAGGCGAGCAGAGGACAGCTGGCCCCAGGGCTCCGGACCCTGGACGCAGGCGTCCTGTTTGCCTCGCTCTGCCCACGACTTCTGGCAAGTGTTCTTTCTCCACAGCGGAAAACGTGGTTCTGGCAGAGCTGCCTGCACCTCTCCCAGTGTCACCCCTTCCTGGGGCTGGTGTCCCTGGGCACACACTCTTGGGAAGGCCTCTGATTGGTCCACCCTCTGTCCCATGTGAACCTCAGGGGTGTGGATGGACCCTTTCTATAAGGTTGACCAGCACTTGATGGCGGCAATGGGTTATTTGGAGACTATTTCCTGCTAACACCAAGTATTTTGGGGGCCTCATTCAGCTCCAGGTTCTGAGAGGCGAGAATGCTGATGAAAGGGAGTCCTTTTCTAAACCAGAGGGTCATGGGGTTCCATTCTTGAACCCTTGGGTTTGGGAGGTAATGGAATAAAGTTGTTTTGCTGTTTCACGCTGTGCGTGAGGACTTCCGTCAGGCCTTTGCAGAAGCCTCCTGCGCTGCCTGCTCCCTGGGCAGGGGAAGGGGTCACCCCACCTTCTGCCTTTGCACGGTGTTTGTTTGAGTGGGGAGATGCCTGCGGCCTTTCTCAGGGCTCAGGAAGCTGCTAGGGAGGGAACAGGTCTCTGAATCCTTGGACGCACAGAGCAGCTGGACTGGGGCACTTCCAAAACAGTCACATTTGAAAGGCATCATTACTATTGTGAAAGTTTACTGCTGTGAACTCTGCTTGGAGCCAAGACGAGAAAGTGCTGAGAAGAGGTGCTCACATAAAAAGCCTTTGTCCCGCGGGGGCATTCAGGAACTGGGCCTCTCTGACCATCGAGGCCAAGGGCTCAGAATTCAGGCTGCGGCCAGGGTGAAGGTGACAGCGTCCCTGCACGGCCTGCCTGTGCCCCTGCCCGGGGACAGGCTCACAGCATGAGCAGCCTCTGTCATTGCGAGTGCCTTCAGGCCCCATCTCCCTACATCCAGCCCAGCACCGAGCCCGGGTCAGCGCTGGGTGGTCACAGCCACGCTCAGAGATCTCTTAGATGCCCTTGTGTGTGTAATTGTCACAGAAAAAACTACTCAGAAATACGGCTCTGATGGCCTTTCTCGCTGTCGTGTCAGGCAGTGTGGTTCTGTGGAAATGGTGAGTGCTCTGCAGTCAGATGCAGCTGGAGGGACAGCAGAAGTGATGCCCAGGACAGTCACCTGACTCCCAGAGTGACTGTGTGCTACGGGGACCACTGGTCCCTCCGTCCCTGTAAGCAAGCAGAGGACACAGTAGGTGCCAGTAAATGTTAATGTAAGTAAATGACAAGCTATCCAGTGTGCCAGGGACTGAAAATAACCAAACCTGGGGCCTGTGGGATGGGGCGGAAACCAGCCCCGAGGGGTGCTGGGCTCCAGCTGTAGGCACAGGAAGGCTGTGGGCGGGGAGGGCCAGGAACACGGCTACCACCGGACAGAAGCTGGGGAGAGGCTGGGGCCCAGCGATCAGCCTGGGCTTCCATCTGTCCTCGCAAGTCACACCTGGCTGCAGAGACGCTGCCCGGAGCCCCGTCTCCTGTTCAAAGATGCGCAGGGACAGTCCAGACCTCCCCTGGCTAAACAGACCCAGCCCAGCAAGACCGCTCCCCTGCCCCCACCCCAGAAATGTCCTGGCCACACCGACCCTGCCTGGGGACCGGGTGGAGGCAGCGAGGGGCCTGAGCCGGGGCCTGTATTCCCAGAGCTGGGGTGCATGCCTGCGCTTTCCAGAGAATTCCCATTTGCTGTGGGGGGACAGGCCGGGTGGCAGCCCCCCCTGGTGCCCACCGCCACACAGTTCATTAGATTGGTGGGGGGTCCTGGCCCACCCCCCCCTGCCAGCCAGGCCCCGGAGCAGAGCTGGATGGTCCTAAGGACTCGGATGTTGGTGGGGCCACTCTGGCCAAGTGTAAGGTGAGTGACAAAAGCAGCCAGGCCTTGGGCAAGAGAAACGGGTAACTGAGCAGCTGTGCAGGCAGGCAGCGACGCGCCCTCCGCGCCCAAGGAGTTCCAGCCCCACCGGCTCTGGCCCTTCCTTTTCTGTCCCAAGTCCAAGAGATCGGGGTTCTCAGTCAGTCGCACTTGACCTCTTAGAGTCGGCCTGGGATGAGAGTGCTGTGCCACACCACCCATGGCCAGGGAACCTGATGTCCTAGAGGTGCTGCGAGGTCGTGGTCGGGGGCGAGGGAGGTGCCAGAACCTGGTCCCTGGTCAAAGGCTGCGTCCCTCTCCCCAGAGATCACAGAGCAGACAAAGGCAGGACACCGAGGTCACAGGAAAAGGGCTGCAGTGTTCACACTCACAGGTAAGAACTTACAGAGAACGGCATGAACGAAGTGACACATTAGAAAACAATGGGGCAGGATGCTGAAAAGACAGTTTATAGAAGAACCAACCCACAGCCAGCAAACATTTAAAGGTACTCAGAATCACAAGAAGTTGATAAAATGCCAGTAAAGCAACCAGACATCACTTTACTCCCCAGAGGGGCAAACGTTTTATGAGTGGTGGGACCCCTGCTGGTGGGGAGGGCGCCTGTCCATCGGGACATGAGGTGTCACTGTCTTTGAAGGCAGGATGGCAGCAATGATGAGAACTGAAGGTGCCTGGGCCCTCTGACCTAGCATTACCTAACTGGGGTGGTTGCATTTCTTTCCTCATGGCAAAGAACCATGGAAACAACACGAATGTTCGTTAGTTGAGGAAGTGGTGGCGTGTGCATACCATGGGCCCTGCAGCCCCTGGACGGAGCAAACTGCAGCTTTGACCGTTGACCTGGAGGGATCCCAGAGGCCCTGGGTGGGAAAGGTGAGAGGCGAGAGGTAGGTGCTGTTATCTGACACACTTATGCCTATTCATCTGACATATAGACTCTACCGTGTATGTGTGTGTGTGTGTGTGTGTGTGTGTGTGTGTGTGTGTACGTCTCACAAAGATCAGGCTCATAGCCTTGTGGGCAGGACCCTAACAAGGAGCCTGGGACAACACAGGGTAAAAGGGGCAAGGGCGGGGCAGTGGCAGGGGTGGGGCAGGCCTTGGAGGACAACCTCAGAGGCAGAGGTGAGCCCGACTGGAGTAGGAGAGACAGAGGAGAGAGGCCCAGGTGTGTGCAGGGCCTGGGCAGGAGGACGGGAGGCCAGTGGGGTGGCCGTGGGGGTGCCAGCAGTGCCGAGGGGCTCTGGGGTGGAGGGTTGGCTTGTCTCCCTGTCTTCTCGGTCTGCCCAAGCTGGGTCCCCAAATGGTTCCCATTCCATTTTCTTTGCCTACGTTTGCAGCTAAAGCAGGGAAGGCCTGGCCTTCAAGGTCAAGGACCATTAACTAGCACCCGCTGGAGGAGGGCCTGGTTTCATGGCTGAATCCCTGAACTTGGAGACACTGAGAGCCCAGGGCCTGGCCGAGCCCTGCAGCTGGGGTGGGAGTTTGCCTGAAGATGAAGGTGTGCCGGGCTTTTGAGGTGGTGCCTCTTTTCAGCTGGAGTGTGCCCCACATGGCAGCGTTTTCTGCTCAGCTCAAGTCACCTCCGTCCTGGCAATACAGAGATGAGTTTGCATAATTTGAAAGTCACTTGTGGGTCGGTAGATTGAAGCTTCTTATAGGAAGGGACCTGTGTAGGGACCCAGGACGACTTGTTCCAGCCAGCACCTTGGATGGTGTTGTTGGTTTGGTTTGTTTTTTATTTTTCTCCTTTTGACTCAACTTTAAATTTTATTTTGCTGAGACTTAATTTATCCTGTCACTTGGAAGGCTCACCCCTGTCCCCAACTGTGCCCAGTGCAGTTAAGTAAATGTTGAAATAACCTGCTGGAACTTTTGCTGAGACAGGAAACCCATGAAATCTGCCATGGAAATAACATTTGGAACAGTTAGCTTCATTTTTTCTTTACTTAGCTTCTTGCTGATGATCCTAATAATCCCAAAATGTGCCACTCATTGAAAGCCAACTTTGAGTCTAGCATTAAGTCCTCAGAACGTTCCAGAGGGGTAGGCAGTGTGCTCAGTTTGCAGATGAACAAACAGAACCTCACTGAGGTGACAGGACTTGCCCTCACTTGGCCCTCTGAGGACGGGCAGAGCCCGGCTGTGCCCTGGAGCAGTGCTGTGGTGTCCCTGCTCAGGACACTCAGGGCCGATGGTTCTACCCTCTAACATATGTGACCTGGAGGAAGTAATTAACGCCCCTACTTCCGTCTCCCGTCTCCACAAATGGAGGTTCTAGATACCCAGCTCAAGAAAAAATTAAAAATTTCCTAGGCGATGCCACTGAGGACTAGTCAGGCTGCAGACTGAGAGATATTACAGTACGCATAGCTGACAAAGGACTCATTCAAAGTATACAAAGAACTCCTATAAATCAACAAAAACAGACTAGCTAATGAAAAAGTGGGCAAAAGACAGAAAACGTATAAATGGAGATATGCAACTGGCCAACAAGCTCCTGAAGAGACGCTCAACACCATCAATAGGGGACGACAGTGAGGTCATTTCACACGTTTGAACGGTCAGCCTGAAGTAAAAAATAGACATCAAATATGGTCCAGGCCAAGGGACCTGGAACCCCCCCTGCTGGTGGGAGTGGAAAAGGTCTGAGCACTTTGGGAAACGGTTTGGCGGTGTCTTGGTCAAGCCTCCAATTCTCCTATAGCCTGTCCCTTTGCAAGTTCCACTTTAGGTGTTTGTCTAAGAGAAGTGAATACAGGTGTACACCAAAACAAACAAACAAACAAACAAACAAACAAACAACAAAAAATACTTGTAGGAGAGGAAGCAGCCCTGTTCACTGACCCCGAACTGGACCTTGACCCAGATGCCCTCAGCGGGAGAAGGGACAAGCAATGGAGTGGGTTCAGCAATGAAACAACGGGGACAGGTCTCCACAACAGCGTGGGTGCATCTTGCAAACGTGACGCTGAAAGTAGCCAGACACGACTCCATAATCGTGGTGGCTTTGTAAGAAGTCCTCGTGCCGACGTCGCTAGGCCAGGGGGGCACAGATCAGAAAGCGGTTGCCTCGGGGTTGGTGGAGGTGGGTAGGGGGTGGAATTAACCGGAAACGAGTGAACTTTCGGGGTGACAGGATTTTGTCGTCTGTGGGTGGTGGTTACATGGTTCCATTTAATTGTCAATACTCATCAAACCGAATGCTTAAGATCCGTGCAGTTGAGAATATGTACGTTTACCTCAATCAACCTTTTTTTTTTTTTAAAGAAAAGTGTATTGATCAGCTTGGGCTGTCATCATGAAGTACCACACACGGGCAGCTTAAACAACAGAAACATGTTTTCACGCTTCTGGAGGTTGAAGTCCAAGATCGAGGTGGCCGCAGGGTCCTGCTGCGAGCGCTCTCCTCGGCGCGCGGACGGCCTCCGCGCTGGGCCCGCTCCGCACTCCCGGCGCCTCTTCCTCTCCTTATGGGGACCCCAGCCTAATGACGTCATTTAACCCCGCTGAACCCTAGCTACCTCTTTAAAGGGCCCGTCTCCCAGTGCAGTCACATCAGGGGTTCGGGATTCAAAATATGAATTGGGGGGGGGACACAATTCAGTCCACAACAAAGAGTTTAGAAAAAGAAAAGAACACCCGCCCTGTAGAGCGGCTGTAAGGATTAAAACGCCCTGAGCGCGGAGCCGCACCCCGTTAAGTCAGAGGTGGTCGTTACCACCGCCGCTCGCTCGCCAAGGCCACGCCGTCTGCCCGCGCCTCCGGGGCGGGTGACACGAGAACGAGTGCCAGTCGCGGCGCCTGCGGCGGGCGGGGCTCCCCCAGAACCCGGGCGGCGGGCGGGACGCCCGCGGAGTCCGCGAAGGCTCGGCAGCGCCTTTCCCGGCGCCCCAGGCCCGGCGCTGGCGACACCGGTCCCGCTGCACGAGACACCGCGAGGGCCGGACCGGGCGGAGGCGAGGGGCGACCGGGCGCGGGACACCGAGCCCCCGAGCCCCCAACTCCGTCCTCAGCTCCGGCGCTCGCCGCCCGGTGTTCCCGACAGGCGCCGCGCGGGCACCCCGCCGTGACGTCACTGCGGCGCGCCGGCCGCGGGCGAGGACCCCGTCGCGGCCGCGTCCCTTCAGGTCCTTGAGCCGGTGCCGACGGCCGAGCCATGGCCTTGAGGCTGCTGAGGCTGGTGGTCCCCGCGTCCGCGTCCCCGCGGGGCCTCGCGCCGGTCGCCCAGCGCGTGGTGAGGCGGCGGGCGGGCGGGCGGGGGCGGTGGGGCCCTGGCCTGTCCTCCCGGCGCCGCCGCCGCCTCAGCTCCCAGGGTCACTCCGTGCGGGGGCGCCCCTGCCCCGCGGCCCCTTGGTCCTGAGTCGCGGGCAGACCTCAGAGGGGCCGCGAGCTTCCCCCGGCCGCTCGGTCTCAGCTCCGAGCGGAAGGCCGGGGCGCGGAGGCGAGTCGCCGCCCGGCTGCCCTCCGGGGCGAGGCCGGTTTGCAGGCCCCGTGCCGGGTGCTGCTGGGCGACTCACGGAGGGGCCGGCGCGGACGAGCGCGGCGCTGTCACGTCGGCACGGGGAGGCGTTTAGGTTAGACCCGGGAGGGCTCGGGGACTTCCGGTGGAGAACCGGCGCCCGGGTGCGCGGAGGGATCGCGGGGAGCACAGGCGCGGTGGCCGTGTCGCTGGCTGGTGGCCGGGGCTACGCTGGTGACAGGTTGTAAAGGGACTTGGCCTCTGTGCTCAGGTTGAACGGAACAGTGTAACTGTTATTAAAAAGCCGTCAGTGCTTTTAGGAGCTTACAGGCCGCAGGGGGAAGGAAGGAAGGAAGGAAGGAAAGTGGTTGTCTTGGTAACACTCAGCGCACTGGGACCCGGAGGTGAGGCTGCTGCAGTGTCCACGCTGGACGGACCCACCGGAGCCGCGTGTCCGCTTCTGGGCGCCGCCCTCGAAGGGGCGAGCTTCGGCGGGGCCGGGGCGCACGAGCCCGCCCGGTGTGGACGCGCCTCCCCGGTCGTGGGGCGTTGAGGTCGTTCACATTTCTGATACTAGACAGTAGACCTCGTGGAGCACCCTTGTAGGTAAAGCTTTGCCCAGACCCGCGTGTGTTTCCTTGGGGCGCATTCCGATGGCCCTGGGCCCGGGCGCCAGGTCCCGCGCGACGCGCAGCGGCTCTGAGGGCTTGGTCCCGGCCCAGCGCTGCGCGCCGTCATTTAAAAAAATAAAGTACTTCTCAGTTTGATACATAAAAATGCGTTTTCTCCTTGTTAATAATGTTTCTTTTGTTTGCTTTTTGTAGCAGGGTTGAACATTTTTTTCATAGGGTATTGGCGGTTTTTAATCCTTTTAAAATAAGCTGCGCATTCCTGTCCTGTTTTTCTTGCCCTTCTGTACAGTCTCTGAACTTTTCTCAGTTTTTGCTTCTCAGTTGTGTTTCCTTGGGGGGTTGTTTTGGCCTCAGGGCAGAACAGAGTGGAGGTGTGGGAAGCAGGCCGCGAGGCGCTGTGGGTGAGAGAGGCGAGGGTGTCTGCAGACCAGTGGGGTGGGGGTGAGGTGACGGGCTCCAGAGAGACTTAAGGCTTGGGATCGGTAGGGTTTTGAGTGATGCGGAGTTGGAGGAAGGAGAAGGATATGAAAGATGGTCCCCATGTGTGCTCTGTTCTGCTTGATTGATGGTAGACACGGACCTTGTGAGGGAGCAGAGAGGGTCAGGGCACGGATGTTAAAGTTCTGTTTTCGGTCCGTGTGCTTTCAGGCACTTTCAGGACGTGTAGGGAGGTAATGAGGGCAGAGAAGTGGTTTTCATTGCCTTGCTCCCTCTTGCTCCCTATTCCCCCTGCCCCCCTACTCTCTGCCGGTCTTCCATCCACAATATGGTAAGCATGTTCTGTTCCAGGCCCTGAGGACTTAGCAGTGAACAAAACAGACTGTTCCTCTGTCCTTGTGAGCTTACACTGGGGACAGGGCAGGGAGACTGGTAATTAAACAAATAAACGGGTAATAGAGATGTTGGCGTTTTATAACCAAGGGGCTCCTTGGCGTTTGTGCCTGAGAGCTGCTGGTGGCTGCAATAACGGACACGCACGTGTGCTGTGTGCTTTGTGTTTTTTTCAGGAAGGAATTCATACAAGTGCGCTGTGCGCGCTGCGCTACGGCCCTCTGGCGTACATACTCGGTGAAAGAACCACCAAAAGACTGACAGAACGCAGCAAAGTGATAACTGTCGATGGCAACATCTGTTCTGGAAAAAGCAAGGTTGCAAAAGCAATAGCAGAGAAACTAGGTATGAACTGGTGTGTGGATGACCGCTTTTCCCGGGTGGGTGGTTGCTTCTCTGGCTTTGATTTTACTTTAATACTGACTAGTAGAATTGGGCCCATGGTAGGTATTTTACGTCTTTAAAATATTTATTGAGAAGCTGGTTTTAATCTTTCGTATTTGGAAAGTTAAAAAATGGGTGCCATGGTCAGTTTGAATTGAACTTGATCCTGGGCTGGAAGCAGACCCCGTTTATGAGCTGTGTTCCGTGAGCCTTGTCACAGCCCCCTGAACGGGGCATCACTGGGGCCGTCATCACAGAAGGTGAGTTAGTGAGAAGCTGACAGCACACAGCTGCTTAGTGTGGAGCCAGGTCCTGCTTAGTCCTGACGTCTGGGGCAGGTGTTTGGCCATCGTGCCCTTTGTGGCTCCTGACAAGCACTTGCCCACGGGGGCTCCCCTAGTTCTAGGAGGGGTTCATATGGGGCACAGGGGGCATGTGCGGGCAGCCCTGTAGCCGACATGCTGATCTTACACGCGTGCTCTCGCCGTGCTGTCTTCAGTGTCTTGGGTGCTCTCTTTTGCACCGCATGGACAGGCGTGTGGGTGACTTACCCCGGGCCAGCCCAGCACTGGTGTTCAGGTGGGCTGGCTTCTGGTCGTCCCGCTGCTCGCTAATGGGGAGTGAGGTGCCCACGTCACCTGTCACCGGCCGTTTCTCCTCAGGCTTGAAGCACTTTCCTGAAGCGGGGATACACTACGCGGACAGCACTACAGGAGACGGGAGACCCCTAGACGTGAAGTTCAGTGGCAACTGCAGCTTGGAGAAGTTTTATGATGACCCCAAAAGCAATGATGGCAACAGCTACCGCCTGCAGTCCTGGCTGTACGCCAGCCGCCTCCTGCAGTATGCGGATGCCTTGGAACACCTGCTGAGCACAGGTGCAGTAGCCACGGGTGGGCAGGTTGCTGGCGGGCATGTCGTGCACTTGAACCCCGTTCAGGAGCTCAGCCTAACGCAGTCACTGAGTACTTAGTGAGTGCCTGCTGTGTGCCAGTGTGTTCTAGGAGCTAGAGGTACCAGCGAGTGAAGCCCGCCCCCTGGAGTGTACATCTTAGTAGGGGTGATACAGAGGAAACGTGGGGAAAATTGTTCTCGTCAGGTTGTGAGTGGGAGGTGCGGAGAACAGGGCCGGGGGCTGCTCTGCCAGATGGAAGGTCGGGGGGGTGTCTGCCCAGGCGCAGCAGGGCTGAGTGCAGGGGGACAGCCCAGGAGCCCCTGGGGACAGTGTGAGCTGCTTGTGCTGTAGTGACCCGGGCCCGAGCGCAGTGAGCAAGGCTGGGAGTGGACAGGGATGAGGTGGAGAAGTAGCCTGGGCGACATGGTTGGGCGTTGGCTTTTCTCCTGAAGGAGAGAGGAAGCCGTTGGCGGTTTCAGTGGAGGAGTAGCAGGGCCTGGAAATGCTCCTGTGCTGTAGGTGAGAGTGGCTTGCTGGGGGCGGGGCGGGCAGAAAGAGGCTGGAGACTGGCCTTGTCAGACAGGAGGCCTTGCGCTGAGAAGGTAACTGCGGAAGTGACAGTGACACACCGTAGTTGGAGAAAGCGAGCTGGTGGTTTGCTGAGTGAGATGGGGAGTGTGGAGGGAGCCGAGATGATCCCAGGTCTTCGGGGCGGTTGGGGCAGGAGCAGGGTTATAGCGGGCATGGTGGGATGGGAGACCTGTGTTTAAAAATCAAAGCACTTTTTGTTAACTGGATGCTTTTGTTGTAGCTGACAGAATGAAACAATGTTTTATTGCCCAAACCAAAAAGTGTTACAGTTTTTGAAAATGATTTCCCGCTTAGAAGTGCATGTGTGCTCTTTTGAAAATATTTGGCATTATAAATAACTGTTATTTCCCCTTTCTAAAATGGAATTGCTTATTTTCCGAGCTTTCATTACTATGTCTGGCTTTGTGTTTTCATTCCTGTCTTTAAACAGGCCAGGGTGTCGTGCTGGAACGCTCCATCTACAGTGACTTCGTGTTCGTGGAGGCCATGTATAAGCAGGGCTTCATCCGAAAGCAGTGTGAGTCTGCGGGGCAGCCCGCTGCCTGGGGTGCTGAGCTGCACACCCGCCTCGCAGTCAGTGTGCGTTCTGTGCATGTCCTCAACAGGTGAACAGGTGCCACTACTCATTACATTTCCACAGGGAAAAAGCTTCCTCCACACCCTTCCCTCCTTAAGTTACATCCTGTGAACACGGGGTGGTGGCCTGGATCCCTGGACACACAGCTTCACCCCCAGCTTCCAGCCACAGTCCCCAGGAAACCTCTCTGGCTGGCTGTTCAGCCTGGCGAGTTACCTTCGCTGTTGTTCTTTAGCCGATAGATGTAATTCCCCTGGACTCTTCCTTTTATCACGAGGATGTCATAGCTCGTACCTGCACCTGGTGACAGCCAGCATTGTCACCGTCCTTTCCTTCCCTCTAACAGTGCTGCCCCAGTTCTTTCTGGGATAGGCGCTCTGTGTTGGGGTGTTGCTGAAAGCCCCGCAGTGGCAGATGGACAGGAATAAAGACCTCCTGGCTCCAGGCCGCCTGACCTCGTGAGCAAGGGAAGCACCCCCGGTGGGCCAGCGTGTCTGACCTGGAGAGTGCGGGGCAGGGCTGTGGAAGGGCCAGTGCTCAGTCCGCCTGTGGCGTTTCCGCTGTGTGCTTGCTGGTTGGGGCCGGCGGGCAGCTCTGATCTGGAGGGCCGAGCAAGCAGTGCAGGTTAATGAGTGGTCGGCGAGCAGGCCACCGAGTCGGAGGCGAGGCTGCACAGGCCCTGCCGTTTCAGGTGGGCCCCCCGTGTGCCTGTAGGGAGCAGCCACAGGCCTTGCCTGTGACCAAGGCCCTGACCCTCGCTGGACATTCTGAGCAGCAGCTGAGGCCAGTCAGCCAGCGCTTCCGGAACGCAGGCTGTGTGCAGGCCCTGTGTGATGTGCCAAGGACATGAAGATAATCAGGCTCCCCTGTCCTGCAGTGGGTGGGGCCATGAAAGCAGCCTGTATGGTTAATTGCAATATAGTGTGCTTGTGGGCCCGGTATCGTCCAGGGCGCTGTGGAAGTGCGCAGCTGGGAGACAGGGTGCTGTCAGGGACGGCGTCCTTGGAGAGGGAGCCCCAGCCAGCCATCGCAGTGCAGCAGGACGAGTGGGGCGGGCGTGGCTGGGGCGTCGTGCTGGCAGCAGGCTGCTGGTTTTGGCGCGGACAGAGGGCTACGCCTTGTCCAGGATGCTAAGGGTTTGCCCACCAGCCCATAGGAGCCCCCAAGGGTTTCAGGCGTGGGGGGATGTGGTTAGCTTCGAGCTCATGCAGGAGGTTTGCTGAGGGTGCACTGAAGCATGAAGGCCCGCACTGGGCAGCGGGAACAGCCAGCTGACAAGGGCGGGGCTGAGGTGCAGGCGAAGTACATGTGGCAGGCCGGGTGGTCAGCTTCGTGGGAGGAACGTGGAGCCGCCTGGCTGATGGCCACCGAGTGAGGAGGACATGGAGAGCGGTGGCAGAGGGAGGCCTCGCGCTGGGCGTGGTGGGTTTGAGACCCCGTGCCATATCAGTTGCAGGTGTGTAGTGGGTGGTCGCATGTCTGAGCCTCAGGTCCTGAGGGCTGACCCGGCTGGAGACAGGTGTTAGGGATCCACGCTGACAAGGGACGCGCTCATCCAGGCAAAGCCCACGGGGCGAGAGGTGACGCCTGAGACCAGAATCCTCGCGGGAGGAGAGCCCACTGTGGGGTTGAAGCTGGGTGGTCCCAGCTACCCGCGGGGCCAGAGGGAGGGGACAGTCATCAGTGCCACATGGAGTATATAGGCTCTCGTGTGACAAGAACTGAGCGGTGACCTTGATGGGGCCAGTGCCTTTTAGCAAGACTCGCTACGTGCTGGGGTGGGGGGAAAGCGCCATTAAGGGTCTGCACCGAGGTGAGGAGTTGCCTGAGAAAGGGAACGCCCACGGGAATACTGGGAAAAGGGCGCTTGGGGCGGAGGCGGCCGGGGAGCTTTTCCCACATGGCGGGCGGGCAGGTCGAGCAGATAGGACCAAGTGGGAGGCCTAGGGCGCCTGCCTGGACAGATGTCACGTCGCCTGGTCAGGGGGAGAGGTCCCCAGTGAAGCCCCCATTGCTCGCTTAGGTCACACTCCTTAGCAGCCTTGGTGTTCCACAGTCTCAGACCTCTGCTGACCTTGGGTTTGGATCAAAGGCCTGTCTGGAATTGTCCCTGAAGCAGGAGTTACCAGGGGTGGCCACTTGAACATTTACTTCAGGGCAAAATAGTTGTCTTCGTGTGGATCTAAGTGTGACTACCCAAGTTTGTTGCTTCTGGAAGTTTCCCCATGTGACAGTCTGCAGACCGTGGCTTCTTGACCATGCTCCTGTGGTGGGCGAGGGTGGTGGCTTCATCCCAGTAGCCTGGGGCGTGTTCCCCTGTGGGCGTGATAGTGCCGGCCGCGCTGCGGGACGGGAGTGCAGCGTCCCTCAGCAGCGGGGGTCCCGTGCGGTTGTGTCTGTGGGGCACATTCCTACAGTGCTGGCTAGAGAGGACTCTTCCTCAGCCTCAGCCGCTTTGCTTTGAGTTTCATTACTGAACCTGCTTCGATAGTGAGTCTTGTAGCTGATTCAATTTTTTGAAATGCAGGGAACCTGGGGAAATGTAGGTTGACGTTATTTCAGTTGAGTTATTTGAAACATAAAGTATATAAAAATGGCTTTTACTCCCTAGAGAAGATCAGGCTGTTATCAATCATTGCGATGAAGAAACACATCTGAGGGGGTTGATGCTTTCCAGTTCCGAGGACGCTTGTGCTCTCCCCGTTCCTGGGGAGTGAAGGTGGGCCCTTGAATGTGGCCCAGACCACTTAGAGCTCTCCAGGCTCTGGAAGCCCGCATGGAAACCCCGGTCCTCCCTCCATGTGAGGGGCCTGACGTCTGTGGCCCTGGGGGACACAAGGCGCTGTCTGCGGGGTTGCTGTGAGGGCCCCAGGCACCTGCTTTGCCCCACAGGTGGCAGGTGGCGTGTGCAGCCAGTGCTGGCAGCGGCGGCTCTGAGAAGGGCATGCACCTTTGGCTTGGAGGGGAGCGTGGTTTAGAACCTGTGTCGTTAGCTGACAGCTGGCACCTGTCTCGGTGCGCAGGTGTGAACCACTACAACGAGGTGAAGAAGGTCACCGCCAACGAGTACCTGCCCCCTCACGTGGTCGTCTACATCGATGTGCCCGTCCCCGAGCTCCAGCATCGGATCCAGCAGAAAGGAAACGTGAGTCAGCTGCGAGTTGCAGGCCAGTCTCTTGTCGCATGTGCTCGTTATTTGAACCTGGACAGCACTGAGCAGTGATGGACGGGGGCTGCTGTGAGTGACTGACTGGTGGTCGTCATGGTGGGTGGCACACAGTGGGGTCCCTGAACGAGCGGGCTTTTCCGTGGTGGATGGAAGGAGGCCCCTGGTCAGTTACTGCTCTCCACAGTGCTCTCCAGTCCCGAATGCCACCCCGGTCTTGTCCCCTGTGCCTGTGTCACCTCAACCTCTGTGAGGATGTAGGTCTCCTGACAGGACTTCCCTCTGCCGTGTCCCCTGTCCTCCAGGGGGGCTTTCAGGCTGTGATTTTCCTGCAGACTGAAACTGGCCTCCTGGGCCCTTTCAGTCCGCACTCCTTGTGCCTCTGCGCCTGCCTCCTGGCTCTGGGACAGCAGGTCAGTGGTTCCCCAGTCACGTCCGCTTATGCGTGTGGACCAGGTGCCCGGGCTGTGCGTTTGGTTTCCCGCCAGCTCTGCAGGCAGATGGAGGACACGGGTTAACCAGACCGCTTGGTCCTGTGATAGTTCTTGTTGGCAATGGCACTGCCACAGAGCGCGGGTCCTGAGGGAGAAAGGTCTTCCTGCTGACGCTGGGATGAAGGCGCAGAGTTGCTGTATAGCTGTCGTTCCAGGGCCTGTCCCCGGAGTTGGAATTCCCAAGGTGCTCAGGCAACGCTGTCTGAGCGGTGGGTTCTTGTGCGGGTAGCAGCGGAGTTCTGGGACCCTCTGCTGCTGTGAAGTGTCCAGAGATTGATCGTCCTCCCCTTTCAGCATAAACACACCGACCTCTGTGCAGCCCGGTCATGGCCTGAGAGTTGACTCCTTAGGGCAGCGGTTCTCAGGCTTTCACAGGGGTCGCCCTAAGACCATCAGAAAACACATATTTTCGATGGTCTTAGGAACCGAGACACCGCTCCTCTATCCGTCTCCAGGCCCACATGCAGATACGCCCACATACGAGTACCCGGGGACCCCTGTGAAAGGGTCGTTCGACCCCCAAAGGGGTCGCGACCCACAGGTTGAGAACTGCTGCCTTAGAGTGGTGTAATTCAGACTTTGAAGAACGTTCCATCAAGTGGCCAAAGGAGGAACTGCAAGCGAAAACTCAGTGGCGTGATTTGCAATACCTTTGCTTATTAAAGTCACATTTATTGGGGAAAAAAAAAAGACATATTCAGAATTTTCTAGATCACTCTTGTTCTCTGGAATGATAATAATACTGCAAAAGCAATTTTGAGGTCCAAGTTAGAACTATCAACTTGTTAATTTTTCAAAGTAAAGTCTTAAATACTGTCACCAGCTAAAATTACCACTGTGTGTAAGAAAAGGGGACATTTTACCAAAGGGACATTATTTCATTAATAAGTGTGTGTTCTTATATTCTAGTGAGACCGTTAGCAAATAAGGAAATAAATAAGGAATATATCAAATAGAGGTAAAGGCCATGAAGAAAACCTGAGAGAGTAAAAGATAATATAACAGCCTTTAGCATTGCTAAACTATGAGGTTTTAAACATTGTAACTTGCCACTCATAATTGGAGTTCTAAATTTCTAAGAGTGGGGATGGGTGAGCGGTGGAGAACGGGGGAGGGTGGAGAGGGTGGTGGAGGTGGAGGTGGGCCAGTTGCCCCCTGTGTTGTCTGGAATCTGCCATTGCCCCGCTCCAGCACGTGGAGGAACCGGAAAGCGACTGTGGTGACTGTAGAAGGGCTCTTTCTGTGCTAAGTGTGCTCTGGAGCCTGAGAAAGGTCATGCTGTGGCTTCACCTGGGCGCAGCTGGGGGCTCACGTCAGAAGGATGGGAATCGCTCGAGTGGCACTGAGGCCCCTTTCCATCCCCGCAGCTTCCCTGCAACGCCCAGCACAAGCTGTTCTAAGAAAATGTGTTCCTTGATTGTTTTCACCTTCTACGTGTGCTCAGGTGACAGGCAGAGGAGTCTGCGTGATTCACACCTTTACTTTTCTGCTTTGTTCAGCCGCATGAAATGAAGATCTCACCCGCCTACCTGCAGGACATTGAGAATGCCTATAAGAAAACCTTCCTCCCTGAGATGAGGTGAGCCCCGGGCAGGATTGATTATAGGATGAAAACTCCGTGAGTCCCCGCCGCCCAGGTCTCCACCTTACTTGTCACAGTGGATGCTGCTCAGGGTGTTTGTAAACAGGAATGACAGCAGACATTTCAGCTTGATTTGGTGGGCAGGTTGTTTGGTTGGCTTTTGGTGCATGTGTGTGTGTGGGTTTGCCACTGGAGATGGCTTATGTGACGGTGGAGGAGACCTGTGTGCCCTGTCCCCTGTAGACACTACTGGCTCTGGTCTTAGGCCCGTGAGGGGAGCTGGGGCAGCAGGGAAACCAGGAAACAGACCTGCTGTTGTCACTGTCTAGTCACAGGCACACTTCTACTTGTTACTCGTCTTCCTGAGCCAGTCAAGCCGTGTGAGCCAGTCCATGCTCAGCTCGACACCCAGTTCATGAAATGGGACGTTTTACTGTGTGTAGTGGGCAGCTTAATGTTACCTATTCATTTGTACCGTAACACGAACTTGGAAAATGTACTTAGTTTCATCTTGCTTTTTCTTACAGTGAAAAATGTGAGGTTTTACAGTACGATGCGAAGGAAGCGCAGGATGCAGAGAAGGTAAGAAATGGCTGAGAAATCTGTGACTGTTGTTTAAATCGAGTCATCGATAAGGGTCTTGTGAATCACGGTCAGGTGAGTTCCCCTAGTCCAGAAATGTCTGCATTTTACAACGTTAGAGAAGCTTGCACCACCCATCCTGCTCCCCTGGTCGTGTGGTTGTGATTTCCTTTTAAATAAGTCAGTTTCTATGGCCTTAAAATTATAGAATGGTGAAGATACGAAGACCCCGGGTCATCTGCACCGCCATTTTTATTGTGCAGATGGTAAGATTGAAAGGTGGCCGAGCTAACAGGAAAGAGTTAGTGATAAAACACGGATAACAGCTCTCCCCGTGTTAGCAGGTGCTTTGGTAACAATTCAAGTCAGCCTCAGTGCAGCTATTGAGGAATAGCCAAGAAAATGAGAAAGAGGAACATAGGAACATTTGCCCCCCAAATACAAAAGCATATTACAAAATTATGGTGATGAAAGCACTGTGGTATTAATGGACTCATCAATAAACAGGTTAATGGAATAGAACAGGGTCCAGCGTGCATGAGCTCGTGTGTGCTCACATGTTGTGCTCGTGTGTGTGTGCACGCAGGGGCTTGTGTGCTCACGCGTGTGTGGGCTCACGTGTGTGGGCTCACGTGTGGGCTTGTGTGTGTGGGCTCGTGTGTGTGTGCACATGTGGGCTCGTGTGTGCACGTGTGTGTGCTCGTGGGTTCGTGTGTGCATGTGTGGGCTTGTGTGTGCTTACGTGTCTGTATGTGTGACTTAGTTTGGTAAAGTCAGTATGTTAAAGGATAATAAAAAAAGAAGAAAATGGACTATTTCTTCGGTGTTATTGAGGCAGTTGATCATTCATTTGGTACAAAAGAAAGTAGTTTCATATCTTATACATTAAACATAGATTACTGAAAACAAAACCAAGGGTATAAAAATTTTAGAAGAAAACACAGCTTCTATGATCTGGGGTTGCAGTGTAGGCAGTGAGACACCCCTGGGCGTCATGGCCCCAGGAGAACTGTTGACAGGACGGGCTTCTGTGAGAGGGAAGGGAGGCCAGCGGTGAGCCGGCCCTGGCACTGGCGTCAGTGCGGCTGAGACGTGGTTCGTTCCACGGTGCCTCATTCAGTTGCATTTCATTCCCTTCCCAACCTTCTGCTTTTGTGACGTTGATTTGCTTTAGATTATTTTTTATTTTCTATTTTTTTAGATTATTTTCAAACCTGTGACAATAATTAGATGGAATGTATTTGAGAAGAATAATATGTTTTATCTCTAAGACTGTCATTTGCGTTTATAATTAATTAAATGTACTGAAATTCTTAAAAGTTAGAGAGTTCCCAAGGGTGGTGTGTTTCGGGGAGAGAATGCACCTGAAAAGGCTGCCCCCCTGGGAGGTCAGACAGTGCCAGCCGTGGCTTTGGGCTGAGAAACGTGGATTTGGGAGCCCTCGGAAACGTGCTTACGCTCTTGTGCTTTCATTGCTTCGAGTGGGTCTTGCTTCTGGAATGAAGTTAGTCGGGAGGAAACGAGTAGTCTGTCACGAATGCTGGTTTTCCTCCCTCATCTTGGTTCTCTTTCTCACCTGCCCCTTTCTTCCCGGCCGGCCAGGTAATTTCCACACCCCCAAGTGTTAGCTGGGCGAGGTGCCCGCGTCGGGGGTCATCACTTAGTCCCCGGCCTCACTGAAGTTAGCCACCTGTCCCACTTCTGTTCTGACTTGGATGGTGTGAGTCTTCCTGCCAGATACTGGTAGTTTATGAGGTACTGAAATGTGCCACTTAAATGTCTAAAATGGGGCCCTGCATTAACACTGGGGTTCTTCCTGTCCAGGTGGTCGAGGACATTGAGTTCCTCAGGTATGAAAAGGGGCCGTGGCTGGAGCAGGACGACAGGACCTTCCACCGTCTGCGGATGCTGTGAGTCGAGGGCACAGGGACTGTGGGCTGGGGTATGACAGGGGCTTTGAGCTGGTCGTCGCCTGCGGTAGAATTCTGAAGTAATTACGTTTTAAGTGAGGTGTTGACGGCAGCAGAGCGTCCTGAGGCGACTCCCCGTGCCTCCCAGACAGGCTCATGCGCTCGCTGCGCTCAGGGACTTGCCTGACGGAGTCTTTAAGTTAGCCAGCACCAAACCTCCTTCACCCGCCAGGCACTGCTCCGATTCAGGGGGCATCGAAGCCACGTTTTAGGGGGAGACAGAGTGCCCGAGTCAACAGAACTGTGTCGATGCTAAGGCTGTGAGGACAGCTAGCTCTTAGCAATGGGCAGCGAGTGACAGGAGGACTGGGCCCTGTGGCCGGAAGAGGCTCTGAGCAGGAGCACGTGGGGGTGGGGGCGCGCTCCGCCCAGCCAGTGTGTGGGGCGAAGGCGCGGAGGAGAGCACTTTAATCTGGGGGAGGGGGCGGAGCCCCGACACATGGCAGGTCCAGTGCACCAGCTGTCTGAGTCAGGCACTCGCCTCCTGGGAAGGTGGGAAACGAAAGCCCAGGCGGCTTTGCTGCCTCAGTGGCCGATGTCAAGTGTAAATGCAGTGTCTTGCGGTCTTCAGTGTGTGCTCATGTATTTCTAAATAAAAACCATCTTGCATATCTTTATATTCTGTTTTCAATATCATGAGTGTGTCCCTACTTTATTAAATAATTAAAAATCTGATTTTAATGGCTCCTCTGTCTGCTCTCTGAGCCCACTGACTGAGATGCAAATCGGGTTGGCGGTCCATGGCCCGTGGGCCAGATCCTGCCCTCGGCGGCAAAGACTATTCTTATGTTTTTAAAGGATTGTAAGGAAAACAAGGCCCATGCAACAGGCACCGTATGTAGCCCTCAAAGCCTGCATTACTCTCTATCCGGCCCTTTACTGAGAACGTTTGTCCGCCCCTGAGATACAGGTGTAATTCATTTACCATTTCTTCACTATTGCTCCTCTGGGTTCTTCCAGTTTCTTCATGTCCACAGTACAGGAATGAGCATATCGTACACATTTTTGTTCCAGTTCAGGTCACTCTTTTAAGGTGTAAAAGTGGAGTTACTGCGTCAGGTTGTATGGCCACGTCTTACAACTACAGAGGGTGCCAAAAAAATGTACACACATTTTAAGGAAGGAGAAACTATTAAAATTGTAGTAGTATAGACCATTAACAAAAATGAATACAAGTCACATTTGACTTCTGCAATTACAAGAAGTGCTCAAAGTGGTGACCATCAGTGTCCAGACACGTCTGATGACGGCGAACTACTGCTTGAGCAACGCTGACCCAGTGTCCACTTGCGTACATGTTTTTGGTACCTCCAGTATTGCTGTATTGCAAAACCGTTCACAGAAAATGTGTGCCAGATTGCAAGCTCGTACCTGTCACCTGGAAGCCCCTGTTAGGCCAGTGTAGTTTAAAGCAAACAAAAACTTGTGATTCTGACCCAAAGAAAAGTATTTGCTTTATTTTGCATTTTATAAACACTGAACTTCAGTTTATATTTGTATTGGCTATTTGTCTTTATAAATTTTCTCTTCATGTTTATTGACCTTTTTAAAGAATCAGCTTTATATTCTGTTGTTGATGTTTTTCTCTATTGCTTTTCTATTTTCAATGTCAAGTAGAGGTATCTACTCTAGCTTTTCTTTCTTTTTTTTAATCTGCTTCCTTTGGGTTCAATTGCTTTTCTCTAGTTTCCTAAGGTAGAAGCTTAGATGATGATTTTAGGTCTTTCTCTTTTTCTAATATGTGCATCCAGTGCTGTAAATTTCTCTGATGTAATTCCATTGTGACCTGAGAACATGCTTTGTAAGATCTCTACTCTTGTACCTGTTAAGATGTGGTCTGGAGTGTTTTCCGTTGTGGTTAGTGTTCCAGTGAGCGTGAGGAGAAGGTGCGTCTGCGGCTGTTGTTGGAGTGTCGCGTCCTGGACTCCCACTGTCCTTCTGGCTGCTGGGTCCAGCACTTAGCGCAGGAGGGGGTGCCGAGGGGGTGCTGCTGAGGTCCCCTGCTGCAGCAGTGGGCTTGTCTGCTCCTGCTTGAGTTCTGTTCGTTTCGGCTCCCGTATAATATTTTGACACTCTGTTCTCAGGTGCATACATGTTTTGGGGTGTCATGTCCTTGGAGAACTGAGCCCCTCTTATCCCTGACAGCTTTCCTAGCTCTGAAGCCTGCTTTGTCTGAAGTCGATGGACCTGTGAAGCCTTTGATGAGTGTACGCATGGTCTGTCTGCCTCCATCTCCTCACTTTCAACCCACGTGTTTGTATTGAGAGTGGGTTTCTTGTAGACAACATGTAGTGGGGTCCTGTTTTCTTATCTGCTCTTAACAGTCTCTGCCTTTTGATGGGCGTTTTTGGACAGTTCACATTTAAGTGAATATTGGTGTATTTAGGTTGACTTTTACTGTGTTTGTCACTATTTTGTTGGTTGCACCTGTGCTTTGTTTTCCTCCCCGGCCCTTTGCCCTCTGGTTTAATGGAGCACAGGCTCTGTGTGACTCCGTTTTCTCTTCTCTCTCAGCACCTGTGCTTGGGAAGTCCTGTTGTTGTTTCGGTAGAGCATCCAGGGTCCGCTTGCTGCTGACTCAGTCCCTTGCAGGCGGCGCCACCCGGGCCGGGGGTGCACGCGCTCGCTCGCTCGTGCTCTGCAGGGTGTTGCCAGCTCTCCCCCTGTCCCTGTTCTGTCCTGCGTGGCGCTGCTGCCACTGTTCCCTCCACGTTTCTGTGCTTCAACCACCCAGTCCACTCGTACTGTTCTTCCAGGTCAGGTACTTGATTTTCATTGTTTTCTTCCTGTTGTTGCTGTACAGACAAGAGTGACGGCTTCCAAGCCCTTTACTTGTTGGAGCCGAGACTGGAAGTCCCTTAGTTTTTAAAACCCTGGTGAATTTTTTTGTCTCGATGTTTATATACATACAGTTGACACTTGAAAAACACGGAATTAGGGGTGCTTACCCCCCCTGCAGTTGAACATCTGCATATAACTCCCCCCAAATTTCAGTTGTCCCTTGGTATTCGTGAGGGGTTGGTGCCAGGACCTTTTGCAGATACCAGATCTGTGGACGCTCAAGTCCCTCCTATGAAACAGCACGGGACAACGCACACAGCCAGTCCCTTGCACGGGACAACGCACACAGCCAGTCCCTTGCGTCCACGGTTGTTGAATCCACAGACAGGAAACCTGGGCATCTGGTGGGCTGACTGTGTATTTATTGAAAAAATAATCCACGTATAAGTGGACTGCTCAGTTGAGACCCCTGTTTTCCATGTGTCATTTGTGTATGTTTTGGTAAAGATGCCTGAATGACTTTATGACCGTAGCATTCTGAACCCTGCTCTGAAAACCCACATCCTTTTTGAGCTGCCGTGTGGTGGTTTCCCTCCAGGTCTGAAATCTCGTTCGCCTTACTCACTGAATAATAAGTGTCCACACTCTGCCTGGAAGGGGCTTCAGACACTCCTGCCTGGTGGGGGCTCCCCATGTTACAGGTGGGAACCAAGGCTCCAGGAGCTCTGACTGGCCACGGTCACCGGACACCGGTCTGGAGGGGACAACTTCTGACTCCAGGAGGTCTGGCCGGCTGGCTCGCGGCCCCTCCTGGGGGCCTGTGTGGGACCATCTTCCCTCCCTTCTCTCCGGCTCCAGCTTGAGTCTGGGTGGGATCATCACCCCCTTATTCGGCTGTCACCTGCCTGAACCCCCTCCCTACTGACCCCTCCCCTCCCGTTCCCTGAAGCCCCACCTAAGGCGGTGTGTTCATCTCTGGTGGTTCCTCCCTTACCTTTCTCCCTTAGGACTTCGCTGCCCTTGGGGCTTGGTCCCCTCGTTCTCGGTCTCCATTCCTCTGGGTGGTTATTTCCTCGTGCGCACGCCTGCCACGGTCATTTTCATAAAAGCGCCACAGCGGCCCGTGTTCTCCTCACTTGGGATCCTTCGGTGGCATATCTTTATTGAGTCATGAATCCACATTTCATTTCCCAGAATTACTTCAGAAGCCAGACAGCCTCCCGTTGCCTCCCCACCCGCCCGTAGTCACCAGATGCGCGCTTCCTCCTAAGCCTGTTGCACTCACCTTTTTGTCCCTTGAAACCTCCTCACTTTCCAGGCTGTCACTTCTTGTGGATCACGTGAGATTCTTGTTTGTGTCAGCTTCTGCTTGGCAGGATATGTGGGACAGAAGCCAACGTGCCTGTCCTAACAGCCTGCGCGGCTGGCCGCGCAGCACGGCCTGGACTCCCTCCACGGGCGACACAGTGTCATTTTCTGAGCACAGTCAGGACTGTACTTGATTCTAGACCAGAATCCACATCTGAAATCGTACCTTAGTTACGTGGTTACGGAGCTCAGAGGAGGCCGTCTGCGCACCGTGAAGTTTAGTCACGGCATTCAGTCAGCTGTCGAGTTCATTTACTGTAAACGTTCTCTGCCTTTCCGTCTCCCGGTTTTTTGCTCCTCTGCCCCCCAAGGATATTTCATAACAGTTTACAATGGCAATTGTGTTTATTTTCATCTCGGTACCATTCCTTAATTTGGGGGACTCAATGAAAATTATGACCAATTTTCTAAGATGATGATTGTAAACATGCCATTTACTAGTTATACTTCTGTCTAGAACCTGAGCAGATTATGGGTTTAGAGCGTTTTTGTATCGTCTCTGTTACATGTGTTGGTATGTAATTATGTATGTGTGTGCTTTTGCTACGAGATGGTAACTGTATTTCAACCTTGATAGCATCTTGTGTCTCTACCCATAATTCATAGCTCGTGGCGCCTGCGCCGTTGGTTTCATGGCTGTGTTGGTGACTGATTACAGGTCAGGCATCCACTGTGCAGGGCTTGGAGCCCACCTTCCTCCTGATTCCCCAGAGCCTGACCCCCCGACCCCCCCATCACTGAGACGTCTGTTTCGTGGGACTCCTGGACAGTGTCTTTCTAATGGGATGTTCCCGTGCGACAAAAGCAGTGGGGTGTGAGTCTGGTATCAGAAGTGTAGCGTTTCGAACAGAACTTTGCAGTTCAGGAGAAACTAACATATGCTTTAGACCTGTTTTAGGGGAAAGAATAGACATTCTGTTGATTGGGGTGATTGGGGAACAGTTTGAGTCATGAAACATCACTTATTGTTCTATTCTGTTTTTCCTGCCTTGCTCTTTTGTTTTAAAGTGTGTGGCCAGCAGCTCGTGTTGTAAACCAGAGTCTATGCACCTCTCTTCTCTGAGCACTTGGGCTGCGCTCAGAGGCTGCGTTATGCTGGCCAGCGTTTGACTTCTCCTTAATTAGACTAAGTGCTCCAAACAGAATGTTTTCTTTCACTGCTGTTTGCTTGCCAAGTCATAAAAGGCTTCCTGTTGTCTTTCTTCCTTATCTTCCATCTAGACTACATCTAGTTTATTAGACATTTGCTGGAGATAGGATTCCACAGACTCGTCCCAACAGTCATCATTTAAGCCCCGTAAGACTGGGCACTGGAAGAGCAGTTCGGCCTATTGAAATCAGTTGGGGAACAGTTCTTGCAGGTTATTTTTTTATCTCAAAAGCAGCTTGAAGCATTTTGTTCAAAGACCCATCCTCGGGGGTGTATGGTGAACTGTAATTCTGCCATGTTAAACCCAGGAGGCACTGTTGCCTTGGGTATTGTCCACACAAGTTCCCAAGCCCATAAGTTCTCCCAAATTTTCTAGAAATTCTTTAGGTTTTTCAAACTATAGTGAAACCCATATCATACTGCATGTTGTTGATATTGGTTAACATTTAAAAATATGAACTTCATTTTTAGTTGGAATTGCTTATTGTGACATTTTTAAAAACTGTCCTTGTATCATAACAAGAGAATAATTCTATGTATTAAAAATAAAAAGGTATATATTTATGTCTTATCGATACATGTGTATGAAAGATATTCCATAACCACCTTACTATTAAAATTGAAAGAACTCACCTTTGAGTGTGTACTTCCCAGCCACGTGCACCATCCGTGGAAGTCCGTGTCGGGACACTTAGGAAGACACACACAGCTGTCCCGGCAGCATTTTCATGGAGTGATATTTGGTTATTGGATTATTAGTCATTGGATGAGTGGCATGGCTTTTACTGGTGCCACTTGGGAGTGATTGTACCCACTGTGCACTCAACATGCCACCTGCCGTGGGCTCTGGGTGCTGCGTGGGCCTCTGGGGGAGAGACCCCGCAGACGCGGGCCCTGCCTGTGGCGACCGGGTTGTTCTGACCGTGGCGGAGTCCACCCAGGGTACCGGGGCCAGGCCCTGGGTTTGCATGGGTCAGGGCTCGTTCTCACAAGTGGCCGAGAGCCAGAGACGCTGGAAGAACTTCCATTTGGGCCATTAGAAGCAGAAACATCCGCCATTATAACTCCTTAATGGGAAAGTGGCCATTTAAAATCATTACTCTCTTTGTTCTGGGCCCTTAAGGAAGGAGATTTTATTTTAGTGTTTTCTTCTGAAAGCCCCTGAAATGCTTTTCATCTTCAAGCATAGTGGCTATGTTCAGACTAAGTTTAATTTAAGCAAATTATAAGAAAGTATAAATATTTTAGCATTCAGCAAAACAAAATGGTGAGACAAGGAGAGTATCCTATGATTTGTATTTATTGGTGCCAAGAAAAGCAGAGAATAGACCTTTTATCTGCGATGGTACAGCTGAGAGCCCTGTGTGGGAGTTGAGCCCCTTCCCCCACCGCACGCCTGGGCAGCGCCCTCTCCTGGAACCCTGTGGGCAGCTGCTGATGCCGGGAGAGGCGGGACACTGCTGAGCTGGGAACCTGGAGGGCCCGAGTTGCTCAGTCTCCCTCAAGACTCGTTCATTTTGCAGCTTTTAAATGAGGACACACAGTGTTCAGGCTTCGTAATACATTATGGCGTTCTTTGAGCTTTTTATTCCTGCTGGGCTCCGTGTAAAGCACACCGCGGCTCCTTTTTCGTGTCTCCAAACTGCATGTGTTCCCAAAAGGTAATGACTCCACGCGCGCACCTCAGGCTGTGCAGGTCATTTCAAAAGAGCAGTTCCGCGCAGACCAGACGGCCTTTGGGATGAAAATCAGGCTTTGAGATGACTGCTGCGGAAGAAATGGCATTTATTTGAATGTACTAATTTTCCAATATGGATGTTTATAAAAATATCAGCCTTATTGCTGCTTTTATTATCTGTTCCGATGGTTTAGTGTGACCCATATTGGTCTTATTTTCTAGGGTTCAGAATAAGTTGGAGGTGCTGAATTACACAACCATTCCTATCTATCTCCCGGAAGTCACGATTGGAGCTCACCAGAGTGACCGAGTCTTCCAGAAATTCTTAGAGGTGAGTAAGGCCTTCAAAGGGGGAGTGCTGGCCGGCTGTGGGCTCAAACAACTGGCAACAAAGTCACTTGTCTGGTGGAAAACGGTTTTGTCATTTGTTTGTTTGGGTGAAAGCTTCCTTTTCACTGAGCTGGTTCTTTTTTCCTTTGTCACAGTGTATAGAGCTGGTATAGTCCCTCCAGGGGCAGGCCCCGCGCCCTGCGGTGTTCTGGGGAGCGGGCTGCAGGTGACAGTCTTTGTCAGTATGTTTTCTTGGTATAAAAACACCTCTGTTCTTTAGCTTTAATGTGCATTTCTTTAATGTCAGGTTTGATTTCCGGGGTCGCTTTCCTCTTCGGGGTACATCTACCCATAAATAATGAGAGTGCATGTTTGTGGAGGAGGGTTTGGGAGCGGGTGGGAGCGCCTGGGGCAGAGGGTGGGGAGTCGGGCTGTTTCATGGATTGTTCCATCTGATTTCTGTGCCTTTTTAGTGAATGATTTGTTTTCAGAATGGTTTGGAGCGTCCTTGTAGGCAGATTCCACATACTTAGGGAACATGTGGGAACCTAGCAGGTGAGCACAAGCTTTCTCTGGGGATCCCGCTGTCTGTGGGGTGGTACGAACGTGACCATTTCCACATCAGCTCTGGCTGGGCTTTGTTACCGGCGGGTGTGTGGAATGATTGTGCTTGAATTAGAACTCAAGCTAAGCAGTCAGCAGTGAGATGAGTTGGAAGTTCAATAGTTTTGCATTACTGTAACTCCCCGATTGGCTGCAGGTGGCTTGAGCCACTGGTTGGGTGTGGAATGCATCCCATGGCTGTCTTTCCTCCTTGAGATCCTTGGCGTTTTCTTTAAAGTAAGTTCATTTGGTTGTTTTGAAAGTGATTTTATTCAGTGTAGAAATTTTGGAATACGTAAAACCATAAAGATCTCACTCAGAGTTACGCCCAGTTAATATTTTGCACGTTTCTTTCTTCCTGACCTTTGTAGGCATGTAAGTCCCTGCGTAATCACTTCTCCTTTTGAGTGGAGCTGTGGGTCCTTGGCTCTGTCCTGTCGGGGCTGAGCCGGCCCTCCCTGCTGCTGGCGCCTCGTTCCCCCTCGTGCAGAGGCCAGGAAACCGCCCCGGTGACGTCCCCACTCTGCCTGTAGGGACTCACCAGGTCCTGCTGCGTGTACCTCACAGGTGCTTCCTTTCTTCTGTGGCATCAGTGGTGTAGTCCATTCGTGCAAAGCACTGGTGCCTGGGCGGCTGGAAGGTGGTACATGGACAGAGAATTTCAAAACAAATTGATAAATAGATTACTAGTGACAAAGTTTTGCCCTTTTAAATTAAAAAAAAAAATCTTTCTGCCACGTCAAAGTATTGATTTACTGATGATATGTCTTTGACATCTGTGCCCCTTTTGACAATCTCATTTTAAACAAGGAAACGGCAGGCAGCAGGCCGGGGGCCTCGGCAGGACCGACGTGTGGCGGGGTTGGTGACGGGACTGTTTCTGTGGCTTCTCTCGTGCTCGGCTGCTTACGAGCGAACTGGCCTTCCACTTGTACCACTGGTGGGAAGTTTCCTTTTAAAATAAACCTAGGTAAAACCGGTATTCAGATTGTATGACGTACGCAGCAGCCTGCGGGTGTGCGGCTGTGACCCGAGGGGAGGCGACCCGGTGACCTGCGTGGCCGTGCTCAGCAGGCGCCAGGCTTTCGTTCTCGTTCCTTCACGTGTTTGTGCCGTTGGTTCATTAGTTCACTTATTCATTCCACTAGATATTTGCTGAGTGCCTACGAGGTGCCGGACCTGTCGTAGGCACGGGGACAGCAGCGCCTAAGATGGCAGATCCCTCCCTCATGGAACTTACGTCACAGTGGAAGGAACACAGTCAAAACAGAGAATTTGTTAAGTGGTGGTGACAGGTGCTGCGGAGACAGTTCAATCCCCGCAAGAGAGGCGGGAAGCTGAATTTAAAAGGCCTTGGTTGTGGCCTCACGAGGCGTAGGTGTGGGCAGAGCTGCAGGAGGGGTGCGGCGGGGAGAGGCCCAGATGCAGAGGGGAGGAGAGCCAGTCCACACCCAGGAAGGAGGCCACTGTGGCTGGAGCAGAGGGAGGGAGGGAAGGAGGAGGGGACCAGCAGTGGGACAGACGGTGTGGAGGCCTGGCCTGTGCAGGATGGGGGCACGAAGAAGGACGTGTGTGACACACTGCCATGGGGACGCTACGGCTGCTAGCTCGAGAGCAGATTGGACAGGCTCACGGGCAGGTGGGGGCCGGGCGAAGAACTGGGAGCTACTCAAGGATTGCTTATTGAGAGATGACAATAACTTGGACCTGCGGGCAACACAGGAACTCTAAAAAGCGGTCTGGTTATGGATAGAACCTCTCAGATCTGCTGAGATCTTGTATTGCAAAGTGAGAGAAAGAAGCAAGCTGACTGCAAAGTTTGGGCTCAGAAACTCGCACTGTGGAGTTGGGATTGGCCTATAGTGGGAGGCACAGAGATACAGGCTTCGGGGAAAGCAAGGGTTCCCTGTTGGACGTGGCAGGTGTGCGATGCTCAGCTCGTGGTAGGACGTGGTAGGTGGGAGACCCAGGAGGGGACACTGCGTAGGTGGTTTTGTGTAGTGACTTTGGAGTTTGGCAATAAGAGGGTTTAACTATAAATGTAGGCGTACTCAGCGAATGACTGACCCTGGAAGTCACAGCACTGGTCAGATCTCGGGCAGGAAGTGCACAGAGCGCGGAAGAGCCCGCAGCTGGGGCAGCAGCAGAGACCAGCAAGGCGCTGGCATCGTGGCGCTTCCGTTTGGGCGTACACTGTTTTCATTAATTGTCTTTGTAAGCGGGGCGCTGTTTGGTCTGCAATTCCAGTCCTCTGTTAACACACGTCTGTTTATAAAGTGTAGGTTGAATAAGCAAGAAAGCGTGATCCAGATCACCCCAGAGAAGGAGCAGTGCCCCGAGCGGGGGGGACGCCTGGTCTCGCCTGGTCATCGGGTGGCTGTGCGCACGCAAGGGCAGCAGTGTGCTCCGAGGGACGGCAGCCTCACATCGGCCTCCGGGGGCCCCTGCTCACTGCTGTGGTGACACTGCCAGCGGCCAGGCCACCATAGTGACGGTCATGGGAAACACCAAGTGAATGTGTTTACTCTGTGTGGGAAATGGTCATTTCCGCACACACTGAGTTTTACCTTCTGATCTCCACACCCTTTTACTCCTGCTTTGGGGCTCTGGGGAGCAGTCTGATCCCTGGTCTAGAACTCGTACCACGGTCGTTCTGTCTGTGTCCCATCCCCTGGAGATGGCTTTCCACGGCTCGCCGGTACGGTCACGTCTGCCGAGTTCATTGTGGATGCCCTTTCTCAGGTGCAGGAGGCTCCGTTTTACTAGGACGTCCCCAGGAGTCTCTGTCTGGCATGGGTATTGACGTGTGTCCGTGCCGCCTGCGCGCTGCTCACTTTCTGCTTTTCTGTTAGCGTGGTCAGTGACGGCGGTGGATTTTCTAACGTGAGACCACGACCCTGATTTTCTGGAGGGAATCCCGCCTGTGTGTGTTATGCTCTTCTGCAGCTGAACCTGATGTACACGCTCAGTTTAGGATTTTTTGTATCTACATTCTTGAGAGATGGGATGAGTTTTCCTTTCTCAGCATCCTTGTCAGTTTTTATCATCAGGGTCATTCTGGCCCCGACACCCACGCTTTCACTGTCTAGCGAGTTTGAGCACACCGGGCACGGCTGCGTCTTCCTTCAGTGTTAGCATTGACGACGGGGCTGGCGGGAGACTTGCGTTATGGAGTCAGTCCCTTTAACAGCACTCTCCTTCTTGGCACAAGAACTAGTGTGTTGGCCCTTTGTTTTTTCAAATTAATACTGTGGTCTTCCCCTCCGTTTTAGGGCCTTTGTACTCTTTCTGTCTTGGGGTTTGGTAGTTTGACCGAGACGGGCCTCGATTGACGTTTCCTGGTAGGTAACGGCGGTGCTTTCTAAAGCTTGTTAATAGGGTCTCATCCCTTGTTTACATTTTACATTGTCAGTTGCTTCTCTTTTTTTAGCTGAGCCATCCTGCCACCTGTTGGCAGCTCAGCTCGGGCCGGGAATCGAACCGGCGACCCTGTTGCTCAGAGCTCACACTCTTGAGCGAGCTCTTAACCAACTGAGCCACTGGGCCGGCCCATCAGTTGCTTCTCTTCTTTTAAACATCTTAAACGTAGTCACTTTATGTTCTGTATCAGGCGGTGTCCGGTTTGGAGGGCTGCCTGGCTTTGTCACTTCCTGCCCTCTGGTGCGTACGTGGTGGCTGGCATTCCTCTGTGTTTAGCCTTTGACACAAGTTCTCACTCGGGGCGTTTACTGAGTGAGCCCCTCCTAGGTACAGAACACCCAGTTCAGTCTGAATTCAGAGAACAGCAGACGTTGCTTTAAGGGCGTCCCAGTGTCCCTTTCACTGGGCATCTGAATAGTTGGTCCCTAACTCTGGCAGTCCTACCCCTGAGAGGACTCTTCGCTGCCCCCAGCCCTGAGACTGCCGGGCAGCAGCCTCCGGACTGCTGTCGTGCTGGAGCTGAGCGCCTGCTTTCCTTCATGCCCTGAGCGCCTGTTTGGTGCTGGTGGTGCCTGGGCCGTTGTGCAGAGGCTCTGAGATGGCAGCTCTGTGTGTCTCCGCAAATCCCAACCCTCGGGCATAGAAGGGAGCCCCGGCTGATGAAAGAGGTGTCTTCTGTTACTGTCCGAGAATTCCGAGAAGGCCAGGTCGTGTCTTCAGGCATGTTGGGAGCACTAAGGTGTGACAAGGAGTGACACCTGCCACTTGCTGCTGAGCTGACATTACAGACACACCGCGTCCAGACATGTCCCCTCGCTATTTCACACGTAGTCACTTTCCACTCAGCAGATCGTTACTGCGCCCAGCACTGTTCTAAGCGTTGGGCTGCATGGGAATAAACAGTCCAGCTCTCCAAGGGCTCACTTCTCATGGGGAGAGGGTGACAGTGGCAAACACGTCCACCGCGGGCACCTGAGA